ACATAATTAATCAGTAATTTGAGTTTTGTAAAGGATTATATGATTTTTGACGCGATAATTTAAAGTAATGATGTTCTCCTAGCCGATTCCGGCCACGGCGGCCAATCTCAATGAGATTAGCCAACTGCGCAGGAGATATTATAGTGCTCAAGTGTACGCGCAGACACAAGTGCACTCTCTATTCCTATCACTCTCATACTCCGGTGGGACGACCACTCGACACGACCGGTGAGAGTTAAGGCGCAGGACCGACGGCTTTACGTGCTCTCCGAGGCACGGGGGAGAAACACCGCCAACTTCCCAACTCCGGGCTGTTACTGAGACTTACTATACAGAAAGACTCAATAACTAAACTTGGTCCGACCCGGGACTCGAACCCAGGACCTCCGGGTGTGCAGCTGTACATGCTAGCCACTACACCACCGAGGCAGTTATAATTTTAAAGTAATAACCAATATATGGTGAGAATGCGCACTTTTCATTATTCTGGAATCTCAACGTTAGATCTTTAAAAATTCGATTTAAATATTTTTTCACGCCTTATATCTTTAAGAAGCAAATACACATAATATCTGATAGCATGAATGAAATTTCGCATAGCGTCGATCGGCATCTTTAACTTAAGCAGTTTAATTAGTATACATATATTATACATTTTACAACATAATGACTACTTAGGTTTTAGAGTAAGTATTATAATACTAGCGGTTAAGTCCACACCTACGCTCCATTTTACGATTTACTCAGGAAACTTCAAATAGGTCTATCCTAAAAGGGATTTATATTACCTACTCTAGCTTACCCAGTTAATGTAGTCTTTGATAGGTTTAAATTAAAAACTATTGTACGGATAATCTATGCTCATTAGATTTTCTGCTTTATTTAGATTTTCTAGTCTCTAAACATTAAATAATCATAAAGTTAGCGACAAAACTTCACATGTCTTTCTAAACATGTTAAGATTTTTCATATATTTTTAATTATTCATTTTATTTAATATTTTTCTATGCCGTGTTAGCAAGTGATAGTTGAAAATGAGATTTGGACATAAAAATGTCAGAGGTGCGAGTTTAAACCAGTTTCACACTATTTCTGAAGGGAGCGTGCTTCTAATTGCCTAGATAACTATAATAAAAATTAAAATATTTTTCTATATGTCTGTTTGTCCACTAATCTTTAAACGCCTGCATCGATTTTAAAAGAACTTTATCTGGCTTATAGAGAGTGGGAGGAACATGAATAACTTTTTAAATATATAAAGAGTAGAAGTATTTAAAAAGATTTTTTAACGTTTTGTTACATGCAGAATTTACCTTTTTTATGTTATTTATAATGTATATTAGTTGGTGTCATAGCGTTAAAAAGTGTTAGGAACTTACAGGGGAAGAATATTTTACAGCTAAATCTCATATGTGGAGGAACCTCCTGGATTTAAAATATGCAGTAATTTTTATAGGCATACCTAAATGGTTCCCATGGCTGATGCAAAATATTGAGTGGCTGATTTTGTTTTACTTTTTCACGTTCAAACAGCTAAACGGATTTAAAATTAGTATTTAAGTATATTCAAAATATATGGAATATTCCTTTACAAAAAGATTTTCTCTTTATACTAGATAAAAAAATTGAGTCTTCGCTATTTATGTTGTATAGCAAATTCCATGTAAATACGTTTAACTTATAATATTATTTATCTTGTGAAGGTATTCTTATACTGTGTTAGGCATATGTATCTTCCATATCTAATTTAAATAGGCACACGTTATCTATAAAATTAGGAAAATTACTTCCTCAACCAACTGCTTTATAACTAACTCAAACTCAATTATTGCCAGAGAGAAAATGGACTCGCAAATACCAGTAACAATTCTTAGAAATCTTTAGGTGGTCTCAAACACATATTGTTTGTACGCCAATTTAGTTCGAACCGAGCTTTAATAACTGACAACATTACAATCTTTGCAAGTTTTATTAAAACCGCCCTTATTTCCTACTAGATAAAGCCGTAGGTAACGGCTGTGTTAATTTTGATCAAACTCTGCTCTTAAATTTAATAGCGTGTATTCGAAGTGTTCGCGAGATGTGTTAATTTGAAAATACGTATACGTTTTAATGCTCACTTATATGGCGTGCAAATTTCCATTTTAAGTTCATCTCGCATTTATTCTAGCTTGAGTCAATCATCTTTACTTAGCTGGGATGCTTTTTACCATTGCATAATGCAATTAGTTTTGCTAGCGGCCACTCGCGAGTGTCTACTACCTACACGTTATACGATTGTCATTTTCCTTCCTTCGCTAGTAAAATTGTAATAAACGTATTCTGTAAGACATTCGACAGTCCACAACAAACAAGACACAAGCGAATAACTACAAAATTTTGTCATTTATGGGAGATTTACCCGCTACCTTGAAACATGTGACATGTTTTGAACCTCTAATGCTAAGTCTTATCATCGTTCAGCTCTTTTTAAAGTCTCTCTGCTGGGCACGAATCGCTCATTACAGGTTACGAGAGGGACCACGCTGGCCAAGTGCGGGTTGGCAGACTTAACATATCACTGTTAACACTTTCTAAAACTTGTTAGGTTCTCTCAGACATGCAGGTTTCCTCACAATGTTTCCCCCACCGTTAAGCAAGTGGTAAATGTTGAAAATGATTCGCACATGAAAATATCAGAAGTGGAGACCCGAGATTTGAACCCGCATCACTTGGTTTTCCAAGAAATCGAATTACCGCTAGGCTACCACTGTCTTAGGTTGTCGTAACCTCGTAATTCGCGAATATACGATTCACCAATAGAAAACTTAATAAAATCGAATAGCGTATAAATATATGAAAATGTTATAAGCGTCATGTCATGAGGTCACCGTCAGAATAATATATATCAATATTTTTAAAATGTGTAGTAATTGAATTTTGTAGAATATCATCTTGCCTAAAAGTTCGAAGACTACTTATTTAAAACTTAAATTAAAAGCACTGCTTACGATTTCAAAAGGCGTACTCGTTCTCATAGGATATAGGTACATTAACGTGTTAAAGACTTTTTTAACGTTAGAAAATGCATTTACTCATACCACCTGCATACATACGGGTTATGTGGCACTTATCGGCCAGAAAAGCCAGAACTACCCCCTAAATCCCAACAGAACCTCCCAGGTCTTAATGAGACCACAACAATCAAGGGGTTGCTTTCACGGTTCACTTTGATATCAGAGAAGTAATAAGAGCAACCCGCGTGGTTACATGTAACGAAAACCCAAACAAACAAATTTATATAAAACCATATAATAAATATTTTTTGGGTTTCTTACAATGGGCTAAGCAGATTTTTCTGGAATTTCACTATAGATAGAAGATTCAGTAATGTATTTAACTTGTATGCATTTATCCTAGGAAAATGAAAAGTCCCGCCGAGTTTCTTTCGCCAGTTCTTCTCAGGTCTGAGGCTTCTTCTTTCCGAACTGGTAGTAGACTCATGACGTTCAGTAAAAAATTGTAATACTTTAATGCTGAATAAAATATTTTGCATTTAAATGAATTTGAAATTTTTTTCCCGCAAGTGAGAGACAAAATGAATAGTTACTGTTAAGTGCAAAAATATACAATAAATAATTATATACTACAGTACTAAAGCTCTTACATAATTCTTTGATATACTACATATTATAAATCTATACATATAATAAAATTCTAACTAAGTCAAATCTGTACATTAAATATTTTTTAGAAAATCTTATTGAAATAGACATTATTATCGATAGAGGTCGAATCTATGGTTTTTAGAATTTTTGTCTGTCTGTTACCGCATCACAGAAAAACTACTGGACGGATTTTGATGAAATTTGGTATGGTCATAGCTGATTATCCGGGTCAACATATAGGATACTTTTTACCGCGGGAAAATATCTCATTTCTGAGAAAAAAAAAACTACATTGTAAGTGTATACTTATATGTAAAATCTAAGAGTTTGCTTTTTGGTCATCTCAACGCAGGCGGAGCCGCGGCCAATGCTAATTATTAATAATCCTTCAATACCTACATTTGTCATTTGTATCGAATTGCGGCTAACTTTACAAGCGCACAACTATATTTTTGACTTACGAAAGAACCTACAAAGGTATTGAAAGAGATAAACGTACAGTAACGCGCGTTGACACGCTCATAATCTTTGACAAAAAGCTTTGAAACAAAGTTATTTGATAACGGTTGACATTTATACTCGTCTATTGCTCGTTTACTCGATCAAATTGGGCATCAGAACTACTTTGTCAAAGACTTTGTTCGTCTCAACGCAGCCTTAATAACGACAGACATTTCTAAATAAAAACAAACATAAAACTTAAGCATTTATTTCAGATATTCATATCATCACTTACAACTAAATCGCGCGTCTCAGATCACACCCGACATGGCTTTATAGTGAATAGCTTTAATACTTCTTACTATATTTCATAATTTCAACACACAAAAATCCATACAATTAACTAAGTATATCTATTAATTTCTTTTTCTATCGATCAATAACGTTTGATTATTAGGTACTTTAATACGAAATTTTCAGTCAATGTATCATACAAATATCGAGTACAAACAATAAGTACTGAATAAAAATCCCTTTTAATAGTCCATTTAGTTTTTATACCTAATAGTGATGTGCAAAGAATGTTAAAGTATGATAGAATTAAAACCTACATATTGTAGTTATTAATTCCGATTAACATTCTTCCTCATAATCATTTATTTTTTTTCAAGTATAATCAAGTTGAATCAGTTTTACATCACATGATACTTGGCCAGTATTGTAGACTATGGCCTGGTCCCCTCGTATTGAAGGGAGCCCTATGCCCAGCAGTGGGATGTTAAAAAGGGCTGAACACAACACACATCACATGATATATATTATTTTATCAATTTTAAATTAATATGATATAATTTTGCACATCACTATCATACTGAAATTCACTATAAAGCCATTTGTCTAAGTTTTCTTTCATTTAGGCTTGGTTTCTTGATCGGTAACATATCTGATGTAGATTGTGTCTTCGGGCTTTGGTTCATCAGATTGGGTTTCATCCAATTGTGAGCAGGCAATGGCAAGTGCTGAGCCATCATGAGAGAAGCTGAGCGATGACACTGCTGTATTATACCTGGAAGAAATTGTATAACATAATATGATTATTAAAAATAAATAAAATAACTTTTTAGCCGACTGCGGCGAAGCACAAAGGAAGGTTATGTGTTTAATATATGTATGTTCGATCCTATGTTCCCTCGTAATTACTAATCAGCTGAACCGATTTTGATTATTCATACGTCGTTCAATTCGTCTTGATACGCGAGTGTCATAGAGTCTATAACTGACCAAAACTAAAAATCATTTTTATTAAAAAAAAATATATTTACAAAAATAAAAAATCCCACATAGTATTATGCAGTCGGAGACATATATACATATATAGGTACATGTTTTAGAATAGCAACTTGTTCTCAACTCATTAGTTCGCATTTTACGCAGTCGGTTTTTATTTTTGTAAATATTTGTTTTCCTTTTATCTTAATTAAAGAAAAAGAGTTACCTATGAAATTGGCAAAGCCTCTTCTTGTTGAAACCGTCCCATATATTAACATACCCGTCAGAGCCACCAGTGGCAAAAGTGTTATACATAGAATGGAAACTTATTGCATTTACTGGATAAATTTTTTCCAGACCTGAAAAATTATATAATGAGAACTTAACATGTTATGATTCATATAAGTAATTAGTATATTTTTTAAAAGATTTTGAATTTGATGACATGTTGTCTTCTTGTAGTGACTCTACTTGCTGTACCAGTGGTCGCGGTTTCGAGTCCCGCTGGGAACATTCACTTGTATGATGAGCATGAATGTATGTACTCCAGTCATGGTTGTTTATATTTATATGTATGTATTTAAAGTTATATATCTGTAGCTACACTCGATGTCTCATGAAAAATAGAAAAGTTAGCTCTAAAAAGAGCTGTTGGTGTCGTAGGAAACAGGAATAAACAGCTCTGAAAAGAGCTATTTTATTGTCTGTAGTGTATCAACTATCCAGTATCCATAACACAAACCTTATAGCTTACCATGGAACCAGATGGTACTGTGTGTTAATGTCCCGATATACTTATTTATTTAAATTTAAATTGACAATTCATTTTTAATATCACTTATTACAATAACAAACATAAGAAAACCTTACCACCATCTTTAATTCTATGGCATTTAAATGCATATTTCTTTTTCTGGACTTCTGGGTTACTGTCCAAGTACTCTACAGCCACTCTACCCTCTATTGAACTAAGCACATAACCCTGTTTGTTTGGAAATACCCTTATACATCTTGTTTGATATTTTAGCGAAGACTCTCTTCTTTGATTCACATGGCCCATATTACGAACATCCCATACAAATATTTTACGTCCTGAGGTACCTACTACAAACTTTTCACCCACTATACTCATAGTGTACACCTGGAATAAGTTGTAATGTGTATTTTGAACATTATTCTATATAATGGCATAAGTTTAGTATATGCAATGAGACCCTTGGAAAAGCAAGGTATCTTTTAGCAATGGGGAGGAGGAAAGGTCATTATTATATTACTAAGGTATCAGAGTATCAACGAGTAAATAAAAATAACCTTAGTAAATACTTTAATGATGACAAGTAGTATAAGAGCATTATAGCTTCAATGTTCCATAATTTCTGTGTCCTTCATTTCCTCAATATATTTAACATATATTTAGACTCCTCCTCACCTCCCCTATTCAAAATTTTTTATAGACTAGGTACTCCACCATGATCTCCTTCCATATACTAAATAGCAAGCATAACTTAAATATTATTAATGTTTACTATTCATGCAGTTATATTTAATACAACATATCAAGTTTATGAATAATGTACCCTTTCATTTCCTTGGTTGTAAGTCCCAACACAGTTGGGAACTCTGCTATCCCACATTTTTACAGTACCATCCCAACTACCAGTAAGTACAGCATTTACTTCGTTGGCAAATTCTACACAACGTATGGCGCCTTTATGTTCACCAAGGACTGTTTCACTGCCGGCATTTAGATCAAACATTTTAAGAGTTTGGTCTAAGCCACCACTATAAGTATGGACGGCATCCTGTAAGAAATTATTAAATATATAGTAATTAACAATATTTGTAAAAATTGTAAATAAAACATTTATAAAGATTTAAAAAAAGTATCTTAATACATATATAAACGACCACTATAGTTTCATTATAGGTTATAACTATGTGGATATAAACAAACTTACTCTAAAGCAAACATCGAGTACTGGTAGTTCATGGTTGTATTTATGTCTTTCAATATTTGCTGTTACATCATATAACCTTACAGAACAGTCCCAAGATGAAACTAATAGAAATTGATTCGATTTTGGTGCGAATTTTACACTGGATATAGCATCCTCAGGCAGACTCTTTAATTTAAATTCTGTGCGGGACTCTGCCACCCGCGTTACAGTCATTGTGGAAGCAATTTTGTTGGCTATTTACAAAACTAAGATAAAAGAAAAAAGAGGACTTTTAAAAATTTATTTGCCAACTATTATTTATGTCAAAACTCAAAAGAGCGAGGGGCACCACAGATACTGAATTAATAATAAAAGCCATTCTGTATTACTCATACACATTACACTCCAGATAAAATAAAAAACACATGAAACATTATGTATATTAATAATATATAATAATCTTAATAAAAATAAAGTAATTTTATAAAAGCTTTCATAAATTTATGAAAATATATTTAGTACCTAATCATTAAAATATTTTTGAATGTAAACATTTCGTTTAATTTAACACAGCGTTCAAATTAAATGTAGTTTTATTAATCTATTACAATATGCCTAATATGAAAATGCTATTTCCAGTAATTTATATAAATAAACTTAAATGATTTTTCATATGAAATATTTGAAGTTATTTTGGTTTACATAATTTATGAAAAGAATGATTTTTATATTAAGCCGAATGAACCTTTATAATTGACATGTTTGTGATGAGGTGTGAGTAAAAAGATCCCCGTCTCGCTGAAATGAATTTACGCAAATCAGTAGTAGCATAAAGTTTTGTGATGTTAAATTTGTACTTTTATTTAAAGTGCAGCTAAATATACGAAAACAATACGACAGTGCCTCAATGTATATGACCATAAATGAATACAAAACCGCCGCGCATCTGAGTCGATTCCGATAGGATCGAATGGAGTGATTTACATATAAACTAACGATGCAAACCAATCTTAAAACTAAAGAAATGTTTATAGTCAGAGCTTTGGAAAAAATATTAGCGGATAAGGACATTAAAAGATCCTATCACAGTCAGTTAAAAAAGTCGTGTGAAGTAGCTCTAGGTAAGGCTCCATTTTGACATTTTCCATAAAAGATAACATTGCGACTTAGATTATATTTACGATGTCACAATTTTACTAATTAAGTTATATATAAATGTGTTGAGGTTGTTAAAAGACCACATGAATTGGAAACTGCTGTGACCTTGAATTTTGAATGGAGGGGATGTCTAATTAGTGTTATTGATGTTATTTTGCATAATAATTGAGTGCTAATAGCATTTCATTGATGATAAATCACTTTCAGTGCTATCAGTGAAGCATAACATTCTATTTTTTAAAAAGCTTTCTTTATTACTAGCATAATGTAAATTTAAATACCAATTATGAAATAAATCTAGAAAGCAAGGCCATTAACATATTTTGTAATATTACAGTCTGATTTTGATTAAAAGTTGATTTATTATTTATGTTTTGTTACAGAGGAAATAAAGGCAGAGTTAAAAAATGGAGGTCAGTTGGAGACATCTGAAAGTCCAACTTCCGGTACTTTGCCTCTACCTAAAAATGATTCAGCCAATATCATTACAGCAGAAAAGTATTTCCTACCCTTTGAACTGGCCTGCCAAAGCAAAGCATCCAGGATAGTTGTTACAGCACTTGACTGCCTACAAAAATTGATAGCCTATGGACATCTGACTGGAAACATTCCTGATTCTACCACACCAAGAAAACTTTTGATAGATAGAATTGTTGAAACTATTTGCAGTTGTTTTAATGGCCCACAAACAGATGAAGGAGTGCAACTCCAAATAATCAAAGCCCTCCTTACTGTGATAACAAGTCAACATGTTGAAGTCCATGAAGGAACTGTTCTCCTTGCTGTTCGTACCTGTTATAATATATACCTAGCCAGTAAAAATCTTATCAATCAAACTACCGCCAGAGCAACTCTAACCCAGATGCTTAATGTAATATTTACAAAAATGGAAAACCAAGCTTTGGAATCTGATTCCACCCCTAATCCTCCCCCGGAAAATCATAAAATACCCAATGGCACCATACAAGCAGAGGAAACTCAAGTGAATGACAATAACAAAGAAACCACACCAAATGAAGAAGAAATTGATGAAGTCTTAGAAGCAAAAATAATTGCAAAACAAATTGTAGATTCTGTAATAGATAATGCTATTAGTATTGCATCAAAGAAATCTGCTATAGATGTAAGTCAAAATGGTCCAGATAATAATGAAAACCCAGTTGATTCACATGACAGTGGAAGTATTTCACAAGAGAGTAATAGCCAAGTTAATAATGATACAACAATGACTAGAATTCCATCGCAAGAAAGTGTAGATGTTGCATCAGAGAACGATAATTCTGTCACGGCTAAATTTACACATGTATTACAGAAAGATGCTTTCCTTGTTTTCAGAGCTTTATGTAAACTATCAATGAAGCCGTTACCTGATGGCACACCAGATCCTAAGTCACATGAACTTAGATCCAAAATACTGTCCCTACATTTACTTCTATCTATTCTGCAAAATGCTGGGCCTGTCTTCAGAAATAATGAAATGTTCATAACAGCTATCAAGCAATATCTCTGTGTTGCTCTATCGAAGAATGGAGTCAGTTCAGTGCCTGAAGTTTTTGAACTTTCCCTAGCTATTTTTTTGGCTTTGTTGCAAAATTTTAAAGTTCACCTAAAGAAACAGATTGAAGTATTCTTTAAGGAAATCTTTATGAATATTTTGGAGACCTCTAGTTCGACTTTTGAACACAAATGGATGGTTATTCAAGCTCTGACGAGAATATGTGGGGATGCGCAAAGTGTAGTTGACATTTATGTCAATTACGATTGCGATTTGTCGGCCGCTAACCTATTTCAAAGGCTTGTAAATGACGTTTCAAAGATCGCGCAGGGTAGACAAGCTTTAGAATTAGGCGCAACTCCAAATCAAGAAAAATCTATGAGAATCCGGGGACTTGAATGTCTTGTCTCCATTTTGAAATGTATGGTGGAATGGAGTAAGGAGCTCTATATCAATCCAAATATGCAAACGACTTTGGGGGAAAGACCAGTTAAAGAAGATAATGATCGTCATAGCATTAAATCTCATGGCGGATCGAGTCTAAGTCTAGTTTCTACAGGATCTAGTAATATTGGCAATAGAGAAACATTAGATTCTCCTGAGCAATTTGAAGTTTTGAAACAGCAAAAAGAAGTATGGGAAACTGGCATTGATCTCTTCAACAGAAAACCAAAGAAAGGTGTTACATTCTTACAGGATCAAGGCTTACTTGGAACATCTACTAAAGAAATCGCAGAGTGGTTGTTAACTGATGAGAGAATTGATAAAATATTCATTGGAGAATATTTAGGGGAAAATGATGATCATTCCAAAGAAGTTATGTATGCATATGTGGATTCTATGAACTTTTCAAACATGGACATTGTAGCTGCTTTGCGATATTTCTTAGAAGGTTTCCGATTGCCTGGTGAAGCTCAAAAAATTGACAGACTGATGGAAAAATTCGCCGCTCGCTATTGCGAATGCAATCCAAATAATACATTGTTTACTAGTGCTGATACTGTTTATGTGCTAGCATTTTCCATAATCATGTTGACAACAGATTTGCACTCCCCACAAGTTAAAAATAAAATGACAAAGGAACAGTACATTAAACTTAATAGTGGTATAAGTGATAACAATGACTTACCGCGTGAATACTTATCGCAGATTTACGACGAAATAGCTGGACATGAGATAAAAATGAAAAACACATCTAAGCCTGGCAAACATATGATATCTAATGAGAAAAAACGCAAACTCATTTGGAATATGGAAATGGAGCAAATATCGACGGCAGCTAAAAACTTGATGGAATCTGTTTCACATGTTCAAACTCAATTCACGACTGCCAAACATGTAGAGCACGTACGACCGATGTTTAAAATGGCCTGGACACCATTCCTTGCTGCTTTTTCCGTTGGCCTTCAAGATTGTGATGATCCCGAAATCGCTTCTTTGTGTCTCGATGGAATTAGATGCGCAATTCGCATAGCTTGCATTTTCCATATGTCACTTGAAAGAGACGCATATGTTCAGGCCTTAGCTAGATTTACACTGTTGACCGCAAATTCACCTATCACAGAAATGAAAGCAAAAAATATTGACACCATAAAGACCTTAATAACTGTTGCACATACTGATGGAAACTACTTAGGATCCAGCTGGTTGGACGTCGTCAAGTGTATTTCTCAGTTAGAATTAGCCCAGCTCATTGGAACTGGAGTACGACCTCAATTTTTATCTGGATCAGGCATAAAACCTCAACCAGATTCATTGAAATTCAGTCTATTGGCCTTAGATCCCAGTGTAAAGGAGCATATAGGTGAAACAAGTTCGCAAAGCGTAGTAGTAGCCGTCGATAGAATTTTCACAGGCTCTACAAGACTAGATGGTAACGCGATTGTTGAATTTGTGAAAGCCCTTTGTCAAGTATCATTAGATGAATTGAGTCATCCTACAAATCCTCGAATGTTTTCCCTTCAGAAAATTGTAGAAATATCGTACTATAATATGGGTAGGATCAGGTTGCAATGGTCTCGTATTTGGCAAGTGCTTGGAGATCATTTCAATAAAGTTGGCTGTAGTGCTAACGAAGATATAGCGTTTTTCGCCGTTGATTCACTAAGACAGCTCTCTATGAAATTTATAGAGAAAGGGGAGTTTGCCAATTTCAAATTCCAAAAAGACTTTTTACGACCATTTGAACACATTATGAAAAAGAACAGTTCTCCTACAATAAGAGACATGGTCGTCAGATGTATTGCGCAAATGGTAAATTCACAAGCGCCGAACATAAAGTCTGGCTGGAAAAATATATTTTCAGTATTTCACTTAGCAGCAAGCGATCAAGATGAAGCGATCGTTGATTTGGCATTCCAAACTACAGGTAAAATTATAACAGAATTGTATGAGAAACAATTCTCAGCTATGATAGACTCATTCCAAGATGCAGTAAAATGTCTATCTGAATTTGCGTGTAACGCTAAATTCCCCGATACGTCCATGGAAGCAATAAGACTTGTGAGGTCTTGTGCAACAGCTGTGGGTACTTCGCCTCAATTGTTTGCTGAACACGCAGGCCTGGAAGGAGAACCAGGAGCTCCTGAAGTTGATAGAGTGTGGTTGCGCGGATGGTTTCCACTCCTATTTTCACTTTCTTGCGTCGTAAGCCGTTGTAAACTTGACGTCCGTACGAGAGGACTGACTGTTCTCTTTGAGATTATTAAAACTCATGGCGACTCATTCCGTCCCCATTGGTGGAGAGATTTATTCAATATACTGTTTAGAATTTTTGATATTATGAAGTTACCTGAACATCAATTAGAGAAAAATGAATGGATGACTACGACATGCAATCACGCGTTGTATGCTATTGTAGATGTTTTCACGCAATATTTTGACATTCTTGGCTCCCTTTTGCTAGAACAATTGTATGCCCAACTTCATTGGTGTGTACAGCAGGATAACGAACAACTTGCAAGATCTGGTACGAATTGTTTGGAAAATCTAGTCATTTCGAATGGTATGAAGTTCGATGAAGAAACCTGGAGCAAAACTTGTCAGATTATGTTGGATATTTTTAATAGTACTTTACCCACCACGCTACTTACATGGAAACCTGAAGAAAATGAAGATGGCGAGACCCCTCACGTGCGCCACGGCATCTTAAAGAAACCACAAGGAAGCGATGAAATCAAATCTTCCAACCGAGTTTTTAACAGCCTTCTTATCAAATGTGTGGTACAGTTAGAACTTATTCAAACGATCGACAACATTGTCTTCTACCCGGCTACATCTAGGAAGGAAGACGCTGAGACTTTAGCATTGGCAGCCGCTGAACTAACTGGTGGAACTCCAGGAACCGAACAAGAATGTCAGCGTGAAGAACAAGGCATGTACAGACTCCTCAGCTCACCACACCTGCTACGACTCGTGGAGTGTTTGATGTGCAGTCATCGATTCGCTAAAACGTTTAACACGAACAACGCTCAAAGAAATGTGCTATGGAAAGCCAATTTCAAGGGATCGGTTAAACCTAATATGTTAAAACAAGAAACGCAATCGTTAGCTTGTGTCATTCGAATATTATTCAAAATGTACAGCGATGAGGCACGAAGAAGCCACTGGCCGGCGGTACAGAAGAGCCTCATAACGATATCTTGTGAAGCTCTCGAATACTATGGCTCTTTGACGAACGAAGCTCACAGAGACGCGTGGACCTCGATACTACTTCTCATTCTCACCAGAATACTAAAAATGCCTGATGAAAGAGTAAGTTTTTTTCTTATAATTATTCTTCGAAATACAAAAGCAAAATATCTGCGACATTTAAAAGGTCTTGGGTTCGAGTCCCAGTACCATACTGTTAAAAAGAAAATATTTAGGATTCGATTAGTCTGATTAAGAAAAATTTTAGGGCTTCATATCTCAAAAGAAAAATACGGAACCTCTATAGAATTATTCATGTTTACTAAACGAACAAATTTGAAATTTGGTATATAGTTAGATTACTCAATGAGTAACAATTTCATACAATGTATGTATGTAATTAAATTCTAATTTTAAAGTTTATATTAGGACTTTAAAAATTTTACGAAGTACTGAGTCTACAGTTTCACTTTACCACGTTTGTTAAAAACACTAACAAAGTTTAAATACACGACACAATTTGACACAATCACATTTGACGTGTGACGTTACGTGTGGCTCAGTTTATGGTGACCTACTTGCTGTGCCAGCGGTCGCGGGTTCGAATCCCGCTGAGGGCATTCATTTGTGTGATGACCACGAATGTTTGTACTCCAGTCATGGGTGTTTATAATATGTATACAATATACATGTATTTAATGTTATATATGTGTGTATCAACAGCTATCTGGTATCCATAATACATGCCTCGTAGCTTACCTTGGATGGTGCCATGTGTTAATGTCCCGACATATTTATTTATATTTAAATACTGAATACAATTAATGTCTACGGAACCCTTCATATAAATATTGATGAACCAAAGATAACTGATAACACAACAGGAAGACACTTTAAAAATATTTTGGTACTATCGTACTTAAGTGTGTATCAATCAATGTATAATGTTTTGAATATAAAAATAAATATAATTATATTATGATGCAACATAAAATATAAAAGATAATTATAACTTTCAAATTTAAATGGACTCGCGTAAATTTCTAATGAAAGTTTCTTGTTTTTATAACTGAAACTACGTATACTGAGCTATTATATGGGTATAATTAATCATTATAATATAAATTAATTGCTCGATTGTGGTTTTAGGTTATTCACTTGTTAGCTTATTTATGTAATATAAAAATAAACATTTGTCTGTTTGTATGCTCGAATTTATATTGTAAATGAAGGCTTTATATTTATCTGAGAATTTCATTTTTTATTATTTTTTAAATTGATCGAGCACTCCGTTTCGATGTGAAAGAAGGACAAACAAACAAACAAACAAACAAACATTCACATTTATAATATTAAGTATGTAGACTAATGTAAAAATCGAAATACCTATTCACAGTCGACAAAGTAATTAGAATTATTACTGATAAGAAAGTATGTAGTTCAGTTTAACTTTTGTTATTCAGAAATACTAATCTGATTACCGAAAATAATATAAGTTTAAAAGAACGCTTAGGGATTAATAAACTGCAGAACAGTATATTACGGTCTCATGAATAAAATTTCAATTCATATATAATTTCAACCGCAAAACGGATATTCACCGTTCAATATCCTATAGTTAACACATTGCATATTAAATATGTTGGGACATTAACACGCAGCACCATCTAGTTCCATGGTAAGCTACGAGGCTTGTGTTATGGATACCAGATAGTTGATACACTACATATGTAACTATAAATACATACATATTATAAATATATATATCCATGACTGGAGTACAAACGTTTATGCTCATCACACAAATGAATGCCCCCAGCGGGACTCGAATCCGCGACCGCTGGGACAGCAAGTAGGGTCATTACAAACTCAGCCAAACGTGTCGTCATATTAAAATCTAACATTAGATATTGTCATATCTAAGTGATAAGACGCTATTGTCAACATTATACCACTTAAGTACTTTAAAACTTCAAGTACAGATTAAACGATGATATAAATTAAATCGTGTTTATGGAAACTATTAATGGTTTAAACTTGATACGAAAATGATACTAACATAGCCCAAGTTACGTATTTGCTTAAGACTAGCGCTCGCTCTCGCGTCGCTCGGTTTCGTCCCTCGATACGTTTTAACGGTTAGTATAGAATAGAAAAAGTCTGCGGAAAACAAATCTATCCCATGAGAACCGTACATTTTTCCGGGTTAAAAAGTAACCTATGTGCTATTTCAGACTATAATCTATCTCTGTGCCATATTTCATCCAGATCCATTCAGCCTTTCTGACGTGATTGAATAAAAAACATCCATCCACTTAAACTTTCGCATTTGTATTATCAATTTTGATGCAAATTCTATTTCCGCTAGTGTCATAACGCTGTCATTACAAATATGTTTTATTAGTGGGAATATGCGTGGATTGTCTTTTAATTTAAAAATTATTTTCTTAATCAATAAGAAATTACATTAAAATATGGATATAGGCTTATACTTAGTAGGGTATAATTATTCTTGATAACTCTTTTACTTATAGTTACGACTTAATTTATGATGGCGATATCTATTATTTAGTTTGGGAAATATAAATAAAATACCGATGTGTTATAAATATATAACTAAAAAACCCCGTACATTGTATATTTCTTTAGAATAAGGAAAATATGTAAGATTTTCCTTGATTAATCATTATGCATTTAATTTCAGTTTGCAGCGCACGTGTCGAGTTACTACCCAGTGCTGTGTGAGATCACCTGCTTCGATCTAAAGCCAGAGCTTCGATCAGTCCTCCGGAGAGTCTTCATACGCATTGGACCTGTATTCAACATAGTTTCTAACACGCAATAAATAGCTTATTTAAAAACGAATGGCCTTATAGTTTGGTAGGTTTATGTATGACGTTATATAATAGACTAGCTCGAGATGGTAATCTGTTATAAACTATGTCTCAGGCAGTCTCAATAAAAACACACATTAATTTTCTTAAATTTAATGACAGTACTTCAGTAGTATTAAAAGTGATCTATTACATAGTGCATAGTTGTCTTATTTATATAAATTATTTGATTATTGAAGTTAAAATTTAAATTGTATAAAACATAGATGTTGTACCTAATAAATTATAGTTTATTCTGTATATTTGAAGTTTTTACGATATGCCGAGCTGATGTCACTCACCGCTTGTATTTCCTTTCTTGCTAGACTGAACAAACTGTGATTTTGATGTTTTTCACAGCTTTCCACTTTCCTTTTCTAATTGAGTGATTTCAGAACTCGAAGCAAACTGATTATATTATCACTTATAAATAAATAAAATAATAATACATTAAACATGTGTATCATTGAATTTAAAATATTTTTAGACCATCAAAAGTTTTTTCAAGGGAAACCAAGTCCCAAATAACGAGTTGGCCGTCTAACCCAGAAGTACTAAACTTGACAGCATCAGCTTTGGACCCTTTGTAAAGATTGATGCAAGTTATAGCATTTTGATGTATGGAATCCAAAAATGTATCGCTAGTCTCAATACGAGCTTGACGATCCAAAGACTGGAACTTCTTCATAGCAGATAATCCCCCTGACTCCTTTCTCTGAGTATTATCTAATTTGGCAATATACTTGATTTGATCTCCCTCGTGAGAGTAGAGCAATGGAATGCAACTATGACCAGCAACAATGAGGTAGTTGTTAGATATCCAAATGCAACCCAAAAATGGCAGGTATTCAGTCTTAATTTTGAAAACAGTTTTTCCTTGAGCAGCATCAGCAACATTAATAGAACTGTCGTGTCCTACCCAAGCAACTTTGTTACCATCAGCCGAGAAGGACACACTGTGCACCCAACCACTTCCACTAGAAGGAAATTCAGCTAATAACTGACCTAATGGAAGTTTCGATCCCCAAACGTTAGGACCAGGCTGGTCTTCAATGTCCTTTATATAAGCAGAGAAGACTCGCACCTTAAAATCAGTTGATCCAGCAACCAATAAAATATTGTTTGGATGCCAATCCAGTGTAGTTACAGTTGAACGGATAGGCTTCTTAATGTGCTTAGACACCCACCAGTTATTTTCCTTTTCAAAATAACAAATTGATATCAGTCGAGCTCCTGAACCCACAGCAAACTTGTTCTCCATAGGTGACCACTTTACACAAGTTGCTGCTCTATTGATTCTCAGTAATACCAATGTTGTATTCCATTTTCCATCTTCTGCCTGAGTCCAGACATAGGCATTACGATCAACAGAGCAAGTTACGATCCTGTTAGTATTAGGTGCCCAATCAATACCCATTACCCTCATATCATGTTCCACAAGATTATCAGTCTGCTTCCATTCACTTCTTTCTTTTTGATAAATATGGACTTCATTATTGTTGGGAGAAAAGGCAATTTCTGTAAATAAAAGCATATAACATGACTAAATTTGTCATTTTAATAATTGAATTTGTTAGGAAGTTATGTTTTATTAATATTATTACTCACGATTTCTTTCCTTATTCCACGCATGACAAGTTATCGGGGCACATGAGTCACCGAACGTAAGAGTTTGAGACATAGTGAATATCTAAAAAGTACAGCAAATTAGTCTGAATCAGTAAATAATTAAAATTACTAATGATTTTTAATATAATATTATCAAATAAATATAATTTTTGAAAGAAAATCTTACCGAATAAAGTCCTGCTGAAAAGAATGATAACGTTGATAGTGGATGTAATAATCGAATTCGTGGACTCTGGGCAGTCAACACGAATTCCTAAAAATAATTTACAACAAATTAATATTTACGAAATAAGGTACAGTTAATATTTACGAAAATACGTAGGTAAATAAATAAATTATTAAGTTTCTAAATATACCTGCAAATACCAACCGCACAAATCACAATCAAATTTGAGTTTGACAAGTTTGAGAAACTGTGCAAAACTGTCAGTGAGCTACAGATAAATTATTATTTTCTCGTGATTATTCATATTATGTGGTTAAATTATTAATAATATGAAATAACCTATACGTTATAATAAATTGGTTTAAAGCACTATTGAACTTCTTTTAATAATTTCCTTTATTTATAAAAAGATTCAAGTGATTAATACACGAAGAGAAGATGTTTTAGTCTATGTTAGCCTACGTTGTTCAACTTTATTTTCAAGAAAAAGATCAAATAATGTGGCAAAGTTATAATTATAACTATTAACAATAAATAACTTCTACTAAAAATATTTAGATTATTAACCACTTGAACCCTGCTGGTGCCTATAGGCACCACTTCTGGCGTTACCGTCAAACCCCGCTGGTGCCTATAGGCACCACCTCGCCCGCTGCACTTTTATCACTTACCTATTACTCGACGAAATTAGTTTATTTTATGCTCAATGAGTGATACACGCACATTTAAAAAGTTTTATTAACTATATAACATTTTAATTAAATGCTGAAAAAAATTAAAAATTAACGCATCAAAAATTGTTTAAATTTCAACTGAAGTGCGCGTGATTCGCTATTGTTTTTGTGTAATTTAAAATATTTAAACTGGTGAATTTGTGCCGTAAACGTACGAATATTTATTGTTAGAATTTTTTGCGACTATTGAGATACTAATAAGTGTATAATCATGTTATAAAATTAGTTTTTTGGTCAAACGAATTTTGATGTATAAAATTCGTAAAATAAGTCGCCATTATATAACATGAATTATGACTTTTATTCTCTGCTTTGGTGCCTCATGAAGGTAAATCACTAAAGAAAAACAAATATAATTTCATATTTTCAATTGTTTGTAGCATATTTCAATAGTTTTATTATATAAATTATGTTTATTTACAAATAATACTTATGAGCTGTCAAATTTGACATTTTGAACTCTCATCAAAGACCAGTTAGACATTGACACATGTTGATATGTGCTATCGATAATGTCGATATTTTAATATAAATATATGTTGAAAAAGTAAGATTGTTTTTTTTACTTTTTGTTAGACACAGTGGAGAATAAAATGCAAAAAAATACTCATATGTTTTATAAAATATGGTAGGTATATGTAAGAGCCTAAATACAAAGTCAAACAAATTATACGACACTATAAAAGGAATACAAAGATGCTCGTCTATATCTATATAAATAAAAATGAATGGCAAAATATTGCTAAGCTCAAAACTCTATAAAGACTGTACTAGTTAGCCTAATTATTTTTTTCAAATATTCGTCGGGGAAGGTTCTTATGAAGAGAAAAATTAGAAAAAAAATCCCGAAAAAAACGTAAAAATCACATTTTTCTTTTTCCTTACTACTACATTACAATAATGAACTCAAACTTACAATTAATATAAATTATTTGAATGCATTGGTATATTTGACACTCTCTCTTTCTACGATATACAATTTGACGTTGAATTTCTTTGTTTGTTTGTCCTCCTTTCACGTCGAAATAAAATGCCAGATTGTCGTGGTTTTTGTGTCAAGATAGTTAGATGGCTGGAGAGTGAAATAGGCTACTTTTTACCATAGGAGATCATCCCGTTTCTACGGGAAAACAAGTTATATCTATTCCACGCCGGAGCGAAGCAAGGGTGAGTCGCTAGTCTGAAATAAAATAAGCGTTCCTTAACTGTCTCGTCGGACTAATAATAGTCTAAAAAGCTATAGAAGTAGTGTATATTCTTGAGTTGTTCTGCTGAGAAATACTCAGTAATAATAGTTTAGGAAAGTGTGTACCATTCGAGAGGTTTCAAATATTGTACTTATATTGTTTTTCACATTGTTCACTAGAAGAAACTAAAACTATAAGAGCTATATTATTAAAATTCTCTTTCTAAAATTATTATTTTAAAAATAAAAAGATAGGGGCATATAAAACTACATTAACATAATGAAAAATAACACCATATAAATATTTAAATTGAGATATATATTTGTCTTTTCATATACTTTTAACGTTGATTATTATTTGAAGAATATACGTGAGTGGTTTTTGTGATATGGTATCTTTTTAGCTACGGGCATTTGTTACATACAAAAATTGTCTCTTATTTGTCATAGAAATACAATAAAATACACATCAAGTTATAATACTCATGAAAAGAATATTGTAGATAAATAAACAATATATAAAGTTATTTTTTTTCGTAATACATATATTGCATAATATATTAAAATACATAAATTAATTTTTGCATGCTACGAGAGCTAGCTAGCTTGCGTGCCAAAACTTGAAATCTTGCATTTATTAGATTTTTATAATAATAATTTTATTCATGTCATATTTTTATAAAAATTGCACTTTATTTAATGATTTTGAATCTAATTTGTCCAAAAAATTACATTATTTTATCGCACCTATTTTGATTTTTTAAATACTTAGTTTTTTATTGTTATAAACAAATATAAAAATTGTTATTATGTTTATGTGTGTTTAGCCATTCATAAAAATAATCGATAGTTTTTACACATTTACTTTACATTTACATGGGTGATTGGGTGCATCACTACGAATCTAAATATTATTAGTTAATTATTTTAGTCAACTTCACATGTGTTACGCAACCCTAATACATGGAAACTACCTCGCGTCGACCACCAACATCGCATTCCGTTCGTATGAACTTTTATTGCTAAAGACTTTGTTTCGCAACCATAATGCATGGGAACCACCTCGCGAGTCGCGTCGACCACCAATATCGCATTCTTTTCGTATTTCAACATAACTCTCGCGAAGTGACAGTGTTGTAACATCCGAGTGCACCTTATTGTTAGAGACTTTTCTTAATTCATTCCATTTGTCATACTTCGACAGTGTAATCACCTTAGGATAATTAGTTTGTAAAAGTAATATTAAAGTATTTTATAAGTAAAGTTTCCATTTCATTTGCATCCTCTGACTGTGACTTCTATAATTGGCGCAGTCGGTAGGATCGCTGTAAAGTAGAGTCAGTGAATAGATCACGGTCTTCGGCGATCCTGAATCTACGAGAGTTGCAGTCTGGGTGTATTCGAAAATTAATACGGCAAAAGAAATGAAACTCCTGTAAGTACTCTGAATCTTTCTCAGTCCTTGCATCCTTTCTAGGTTATCCTATATTTTATATTATTTTATTCTATTACGTAATAAAAATTAATTAGAGTTTGGTAATTTAAATTTAAAATATTAATCGCAATATTTTAATTTTGTATTCGTATTTAGTGGTATAGTTAATTTAAATTAAGTTTTTATAATTCATATAATTTTGAGTTTAAGAATAGGTACATGCGATAGCTATAGTTTTTATAAGATAATTATTTATTATTCAAGATTTTTCACCCTAGAGAATCGCGGAATATTAGATTAAGGCATACTTTTCCTAGTGGTAGGCTCAGCACGATAGACGAGAGGCGAAATATATTAAACGATACAATGGCTCATCCTGACTTAGATTCTATTTATAAATCCCTTAGATTATTACCAGAGTTTGATGGTAACCCGCATATATTAACGCGTTTTATTAATTTATGCGATCAGCTCGTCCTTGCGCTATTTAACACAGATCCAGGACATGAATTAACGAATCTAGCCTTAGTTAATGGTATTCTAAATAAAATAACGGGTTCCGCAGCTAGATTGATTAACTCTAATGGTATACCCGATAATTGGCACGGTATTAGAAACGCATTAATTAACAATTTCGCTGATCATAGGGATGAGACTGCTTTATATAGTGATTTATCTTTGCAAACCCAAGGGTCTAGCACGCCGCAGGAATTCTATGAACGCTGCCAGAATCTATTTAGCACGATTATGACTTATGTGTCTTTGCATGAGAATATTACTACTACTATAGAGGCAAAACGCGCGCTTTATTCAAAACTCACCCTTCAAGCTTATTTAAGAGGGCTAAAGGATCCCCTTGGTTCAAGGATACGTTGTATGCGACCTGAGACCATGGAGAAAGCTTTAGAATTTGTCCAAGAAGAACTTAATACATTATATATACAGCATAGAAACGAAGGTTCTATTAGAAAAGATAGTCAGTCTTTAGGCCCACCAAATAATTTATCTTTAAATAATGTTGTACCAAAAAGGACCTATCCTTTTAATATGCCCATCAGGCAACCAGTGTTAATTGCACCTGGCCCTTCTAGGCCAAGTCCTATGCAGCATAATAGTACCCAGGGTTGGAGGCCTAATTTACCACCCCATGTGCAACAACCTACTAGGACACAGCAAATAATGCGTGCTCCTCCACCAAACTATAACCCACAAAGCAATGTATTTAAAATGCCTAATAAACCCCCACACCATTCATTTAATTTCAGTAGTCAACCCCGTCCGATGAGCGGCGTTACTCACTTTGTTCCTAGACAATTACCACCGACATTACACGATTGGCGTAGATCCGGAAATCCACCTCCTAATAACTATTTTAAAACTAGAGAGCTAAACTTTAATGATTGTTACTACGACTACGATGACTTTGACTATGACTGTTACGACTACGGACAGACCTACAATGATCATGACTATACTGAATACTTTTGCTATCAAGAATCCCCATACTCAGAGACGGCAGTTTTAGAGGAAATAGACCAGCCATCTGTCCCGAACAGTGACATAAATTTTCAGAAGGATCAGAAATTAGAAAAACCAAAATAGAATTAAATTTTCACGTACAAAGGCAGCTGGGATATGTTAAAATAAATAATCCCCCATTAAAATTTTTAATAGATACTGGGGCTAATCAATCTTTTATAAGCCCAGAAGCTGTTCAAAAATATTTTAAACACATTCCATTAAATTACGAACCATTTGAAGTAACTAATGTGCATGCTACAACGAAAAATGATTACTCAATAACGTTGCCTTGCTTCCCGGAATTCTGCGAGCAAGATGATATTACTTTATTCGTTTATAAATTTCACAATTACTTTGATGGCCTAATAGGATTTGACTTACTTGACGTCTGGGGCTCTAACATAGATCTCAGTAATAAACTACTTATTACACGCAACGCTAAAATACCTATTTATATGTATGATTCGCGGATAGCTAATCTTTATGAAGAAATAATTCCTGCTAATTCATCCAAATTAATAAGATTGCCAATAAATTCATTAGACGGTGATGTTCTAGTTGAGAACCAAACCATTTGCAATTGCTTGATTTCGGATTGTATAACTAACGTAGTAAATAACCGCGGTTGGGTAGAGGTTACTAACACTACATATAATGACGTCATCTTTTCTATGGACCGGCCAGTAGCGGCTGAGTTATTTAACATAGAAAGCGAGTGTACTGAAATTTTATCCAATCGTGCTAAAGAAGTTTTATCCCGACTTCGTACTGAACATTTAAATCCGGAAGAACGCGTTAACTTAGAACGTCTCTGTGCGAATTACGCAGATGTGTTTTACCTTGAAGGTGAAAGTTTAACATTCACCAACAGGATAAAGCATAGAATAAAAACTACAGATGAAATTCCAGTACATACAAAATCTTATAGGTATCCTTTTGTTCACCGGCAAGAGGTAAGAGACCAAATTTCTAAGATGCTTAGTCAGAACATCATCAGGCCTTCGGATTCAGCGTGGAGTTCACCTATTTGGATAGTGCCGAAGAAGGCTGATGCTTCAGGTAAGGTTAAATGGCGTATTGTAGTAGATTTCAGAAAAGTTAACGAGAAAACGGTTGATGACAAGTACCCCATCCCCAATATTACAGATGTTCTTGACAAATTAGGTAGATGTCAGTATTTTTCTACATTAGATTTGGCTAGTGGATTTTACCAGGTGGAAATGGACCCTGAGGATATACATAAAACAGCTTTTAACGTAGAAAATGGTCACTATGAATTTCTGCGAATGCCAATGGGCTTAAAGAATTCACCATCGACCTTTCAGCGGGTGATGGACAATGTCTTAAAAGATCTTCAGAATCATATTTGCCTAGTATACTTAGATGACATAATAGTTTTCAGTACTTCCCTTCAAGAACACATTTTGAACCTAGAAAAAGTCTTCAAAAAACTACGTGAATCGAATTTTAAAATACAGATGGATAAATCCGAATTTTTAAAATTAGAAACAGAATTCTTAGGGCACTTAATATCTAATGAGGGTGTTAAGCCTAACCCTAGTAAAATCCATGCAATTCAAAATTATCCCTTGCCAAAGACTTCTACCGAAATTAAACGTTTTCTCGGACTACTTGGATATTACAGAAAATTTATACCAGATTTCGCACGTGTCACTAAACCACTAACACAATGTTTGAAAAAAGGTGCAAAAATAGTCCTAGATCAAAAATATGTAGATTGCTTTGAATACTGTAAAACACTTCTAACCAATGATCCCATCTTGCAGTACCCCGACTTTACTAAGGATTTCATTCTTACAACAGACGCGTCTAATGTCGCTATCGGTGCCATATTATCTCAAGGTACAATAGGTTCAGATAAACCGATCGCCTATGCATCAAGAACACTTAATACTAGTGAGACTAATTACAGCACAATAGAAAAAGAACTTTTAGCCATTGTCTGGGCTTGTAAGTATTTCCGCCCATATTTATTTGGCCGCAAATTCAACATTATAACAGATCACAAGCCTTTGCAATGGGTAATGAACTTAAAGGAGCCGAACTCACGACTAACGCGCTGGCGTTTAAAGCTTAGCGAATATGATTTCACCGTAATATATAAACAAGGTAAACATAATACTAACGCGGATGCTCTTTCTCGTATAGAATT